ATTCTTTTGTTTTCTTACTACTGTTTTAAATCCACCTTTGGTTGGTTTTCCCCAAGGAGAAACGGACCTTCGGCCTCCTTTTGTACGTCCTTCTCCTCGCTGGACCACGCCACCTCCACATGGACAAAAGATGGTGGACCACGGACGACCGACCCCGCGGCCACTAATTTCTGTATGAAAACGGCCACGGGCACGGCACAAGGAAACATCCTCGGGGGAGGTCCCCAAGGATGAGTGGAACGACGCCGCAAATTTCCTTTAAGAGCCACAAGGAAATTTCCTTGTGGCTCAAGGAACTCGTAAGGAGTGTCTAATGACGCCCTTTGCCGCAGAACATTTCCGGCACCTCACAGCCCTCGGCTGAGTCCTTGGACGAACGTTTTTGTTTTCCAAAAATGGTTTTCCGGTACCCCACAACCCGAATTTTGTGGCGTGGAAAAACGGAGTTTTCTGTTTTCACATGGTTCCCGGCCTGGAAAAGTATCGCCAGAGCATTTCTTGCCGCGTTTTTGTGCCGACTGTAGAGGGTAGAGGGGGGCAACATCTTGAATCTTTCCAAGGTCGCGTGTCAAGGCCGGACTTCCCGTTCTGCACTTCACACCTGAAGAATCAGTGAAGATACGTGCTCGGCCGTTCCAATGGTCCTTGCGAGAAAACTCGGACACTCCCCCACTTCCTTTTTGGGTCGAATGCCAGGCCATGTTTCCTTTTACGGAAAAAGAAACTCTGGCTTTGCCGCGAAGTGCACTCCGCTGTGCGGTCCCCACAAAATCGTTTCCAGACTTTCCACGAATCTTTGCCCGCTTTTCGTGGCCAAGCTTCTTTTCCATCCGCACAGCTGTGGGGTCCAGGCCTAAGTTTTCTTGGTGATGTTTTTCTGTTCTTTGCAAACAGGTGGGGCCTTGAGCTATATCAACTGATGGCCGGCCCCAGGCGCATTGTTTCAGTCGCAGGGGGATAGGATATATGTTGAACTGTGAGACATTGTGAGGGACAACTAACTGCCTCCCGGTCAGTCATTCGGCAGGCACATCCAATGGTAGCCACTGGGAGATCGTGTGTTCCCCCCCTTTTTCCCAGCCATTTTTCTGCAACGCGGCAGTGCTCACACCATGTCTGGCATGAGCTATCGGCTGCCAGTTCGCGGTGAATTCATCCAGGCAAAAACGGTCGCATGCACAGCCTGTTTTTCGTGCGAACTGACAGGCTGGTATATCCTCCCATACGCAGCGCTGTGCACGTGCTGTGTCATAGAAAAATGGCTGGGCCCCATTGCCAAAGGCTGTACACAGCAGAGAAACATGGAACTGAAAAATTCAGGGGCCGGCAGCGGCGGCAGGTGTCAAGCCTTCAACCTCAGCCCGAGTCCCTCCCCTGTAATAAGTAAAAAATCAGCAAAAGGAATGGGAGTGTAGCAGGCTGAGGTCTTCAGCCAACACGGGTGTGAGTGTGTGTGAGGGGGTTGCGTGTGGTGTGTGGGAGAGTGTCGGCTTTAGACACTACTGTTGCTCGATGAGGGTGGGGGAAGATGAAAAGGGAGGCACAGTTACTGGCAAATGCTCAGTCCTTGTGTTAGCCAGGCCACCACCGGCGGCCCCAACCCTGCACCGTAAACGCTAGGGCAAAGGGAAAAGAACATGCTGTTACCCCTTGCCACTTAGAGAGGTAACCTCCCTTCACTGAAGAGAGGTAGAAAGCTATGCTTGCAGCGGTCCCCTGTATAGCCTGAGTAGTGATAGGTTCTGAAAAGAAAGATATGTTCCATGACATGGCAGAACGAATTAAAAGATATGTGAGGTGAGGGAAAAATATATGGCTGTCCCCCGATGAGGAGAAGGCAGCTTTTTTTTCATGAAAAAAAGAAAAACAAGGAGCTCCCTTTTTTTATTTTTTTATTGAAAGCCCAGGTTTTTGTAGAGGCCAGGTATCGACCCAGGTGGGTACTGTCATACGAGCGCTGGAACGGAAGCTTCCCAGTAGGCAACCAACCCAGTAAGATATTAGCTGTTTTTTTTCTTTTTTTCTTTTTAATATGAATCATCATGCTGGGCATCGACCCAGGTGCAAACCCTCTATCCAAGTGGTGGTGAGTGAACCACTACGATTGACTATTTGCCATTGTGACGACTTCAATCTATTGGTGGGGAGCTGTACCTGGGGGAAACTGGGTCCCGCATCCCTTCAATGCAGATTATTGCATTGCCATCCCCTTTTTTTTTTATAAACAAAAAAACATCCGTGTCGATCTGCGACCCCGGGTGTCCCCTCTGTTGTGCATGCCACACCATTTGGAAGGCTCCAGTCTTTTTTTCCCCTTTTCTATTCATTGGGAGGAACTGGGTCCAGCATCCCGTAGACCACTGGAAAAACTTTTTTTTTTTTAAACACCCCCTCCAGTGTTAGTGATGCTGGTATAAGCAGCCACCACTAACACCTGCGGAGCAGCGCTCAACATTTTCTTTCGAAAGGAGCCGTGCAGCATTGATTACCCTGGGGAAACGAGGGGATTGACTGCCTCACTCAGCGAGTAGAGCACCAGTCGGAAATGCGCGTTGCGGTCTGAGGGTGCGAGTTCAAAACTCTGCAGCCTCGCACACGTGCGCCAGCAGCGTTCACTTAATGTGCAGCCATTCGCACACCCCCTGTAGCTGACTCAAGGTAAGGACGACAGACACTGCCTGAGCGCTACCCGAGGGGTTAGCCCTTTTTTTTTTTTTTTTTTTTTTTTTTTTCGAAAGCCCGGGTTGTTGTAGAGGTGGGATACTAGACAGATGACAAACACCCACTGTAATTGGCCACTCGGTTGTCCAGATGAACCCCCCTGAAGACCCCACCCACCCTTCCTCTCATCGTTTTGCCCTGGCGCACCCCCACCGCCCGTCCTACCCTAGTGTTAACCACCTAGGACCATCAACCATCGCCATCTTGGCGGGGTGACCTGACCAGACGGCGGTTGCAGGCACCCGGGCTAAGCAGAGACCCCTACCCCCTGCTAAGCCCTGATTGAAGCAGACACCGTGCAAGCCCGATTGCACGGGGACTTCGGGAGCTAGGTATGAACATGCTACTACAGCCCTTCATGAGACTGCACAGTGACTCCCATCTAGAACAGTAGACTTAAGATCGTAGTTGATAGCCTATTTGATAGCCTAGTAGATAGCTTAATGGATAGTGTAGCCGATAGGGGGATCGATACCCCTAGTTGATAGGTAAGTTGATGTCCTAGTTGATAGATGAGTTGATAATATCCCAACTGATAGTCTCGTTGCTACGCCAGTTGTAGTATGAGACAGAGAGCTGTGTTCCCTTGTAGGATCTTAGACGGTACTAGGGTGACAGCTACACCAGCCACACAACTTTGGACCCCGGTCCAGTATCTGGAGCCTGTTCTGGTACCTCGATAGGTCTGTACTAAGGTGACAGCTCTGCCAGCCACACTACTAGAAACCCTCTGGACCAGTACCTGTTC